AAGAGAGCCAGTAAGCCACAGAAACCAGTGGCGCATGTGCCCCATGAAGGGAAGTCCGACGATTCTCTCGAGAGGAATCAGACGGCTGAGGGAGCACGTACAAACGCTGCGGAACCTGCCGATGAATCGTTCAGCCCGGCCCACAAAAAGGCTGACGATGAGGCATCCAATAGCGTGGCCAAAGACGATGAGGATGCTGACAGCGATGATGACAACGACGATAGTGACGGCGTGGAGCACACTTTTGCTCTGATCCGAAAGGGGAAGCTGCCAATTGATTCTCCTCCAAAGAAAGTCACCCCTGAGGATGCAGCTCCTTTTATAGCTGCCCGTCCCAAGACTATAGTCATCAAACCCGTGAAGGAGACAACCACAGCTAAGACTGCTGCTCCCCGGTCACCTAAGACAAAGACAAAGAAGCAGCGTCCTGTTAGAAAGAGTTTGGTTGCTGAAGAGGACCTACACATCTTCGACGACTGTCTTCCCTTCATTACTATAAGCCGGGCCGAATCCTTAAGTACAGGGGCCAACCTTGTTGGTCCCCGAGTAGAAGCCGCAGCATCAGGCTCAACTGCGCGTGCACCACCCTCTCCCAGCCACTCGTTAGCCTCCCAAAAGGCTAATGTTTCAACATCACGGGACTCACCCACCTCACTGGTTCCCTCCGAACCAGTTGAGCGCTCTAGTGGCCCACCGCCCGAGGCCACAACCCCCTCTTTCTCCACATCGAGTCTAGGTGTCACATTTCCCACTTTTTCCAATTTTTCTAGGACACCTACATCGTTCACAGCACATACAGGTGCACACACCCTGGATACAACGACCGGAGTGCAAACAAGGATGGTCGGAAGCCCTGTTGTGCCAAAGATGACTTCATCTTTGCACGCAGGCCACACATCAGCTCTCTTCACTGATGCTATGACAACAGTTACAACCCCCGTAACTGGACACCTTACACCCGAAGATGTTACCGTTCTCATGAACCGCTACATGGAGTCCACCATCAAACCATGGGTGCAACAAGCATTCACCGCTTGGGCACAGGACTCCAAAACAACCCCAGCGGTTCATAGTGAACAGAGCCACCCCAAACCTCACTCTTCACCCTCTAAATCCATTCCACAACCCACTCCTGTCATCCCTATCACATCCACCAAACCATTTAGCCCTTCACTCTCTCGGGGAACCCACGATACGGAACTGGTATCGCCCTCTGCCTCGACCAATCCCTTCCACCTATCCCGCCTTGAGCTTGCCGATCTCCTGTTTCTTCGGTTGCTGGAGGTCGACACTTGCCACCTTTCACCCTTCGAGCGCGACCTTCTCCAAGTTTTCTTCAAACACGACCGCCCTCAGTACGGCACTTGCCGTGACAGTCCCCGAGGTCTCAAACGTTCCCATGAGGATCCCGATAATTCGGAACCTCATGAGGGGGAGAACAAGAGGCCTCGGACACTTGAGCAAGCAGCCTCTACCAGCCATGAACCCCAGCCAAACACCTCATCAAACCAGCCCACCAACCAACCACCACCTTCCTCGAGCCACAACCAAGCCCAACTCTCTAGCCTGGTCGAGCTAGACGAAACATCCCGAGGCTTATCTCCTAGAGATACTGTCCGAGGAGGGGATGGAAGTCCTGTAGTGGTTACCTCTGGTACATCACAAAGCTCAGGCCATCGATCAGAACACAGTTCGAAATCGATGACAACATCCCGAGGCGTGTCTCCAAAGGATACCGTCCGAGGAGGGGATGGAAGTCCTGACAATGCTATCTCTGATTCATCTGTCAAGTCAGGCCATCAGCCAGAACTCAGTTCTAACCTGATGACAACGGGCAATCCTAGTGAACCCGGTTGTGACTCACGAGAAAAATCACCACAGCTGAGAGTCCCTTACATTCCCCAAGGCAAAGATATTCACGATGCACTCGAGGATGTTGTGGTACATGACGTTTGGCCGAGAAAGTGGATAGAGTGGGATGATCTTAGATGCGAAGCCGAGACAGAGGATATGCAGCGAAATTGGTGGCTGAGAGAGTTACTGGCCAAATGCGCAGAAGACATCATACGCCTTGATGAAGAGGAACTCAAAGAAGGGGAGGACTACAAAAAGATACCCAGGGAGCTAGAATCCGTCATCAGACAAACGGCAAGCAAGTTGCCCCCAAAAGAAAAGCTCTGGGAAAACATCAGAATAAATGCCCCCTTCCAAGAGGAAATCAGAAAGGGAATTTGGAGAACCGCAGACAAGCTCAAACAGCTAGATGAACTAAAGATCCGTGGTTTGACTCACCTCAAAGGAAAAATGGCTGGCGGACATCTTCACATGCTGATGCACAGATCATCTGGAAAACAACGTCAAGTACTGGAAAGAGATATGAAGTCCAGCATCCATCCTATTGACGCTATCCTTGATATACACAGAGAAGATCATCACACCATCCCGTTCTACAGCTTCAAAGTTCGACGGACAGACTCCAGCATATTCATCTGCCAGGAAAACGACTTTATAATGATGAAAATGGAGGATATCTACCAAATGTTCATGGTAAGTAGGTATCTCCCACTGAGTCGAAACAGGACACACGAAGAAGGCTATGAGGCGATCAAACGGTTTATGTTGAGACAGATCAGATTCTATGCTGCCCATGATCTACAGATGGCCCTGGAAAACAATGTCCGAAAAGCAAATCTGGTAAAGCCAACTCTGAACGGTCCAGAGCTCAAAAAGTACAGACCATATCACATCTTCAAGGACCCAGTCTCCATCATATATCTCAATCACGAGGAACAGAAAAGACTCATGTGGGTAGAAGACATTCACAAATACTGTGATGGGACTCTAAAGATCATTCAGACCAAGCTACAAGAGATCAAAGAAAATAGAGATCCAAGACTTGCGGACGCCAGCGAGGAAGAGCTCCAAGTATACGAGAAGGTGTGGACCATACTAAAGCCCATCAATGAGCAACTTGAAAAGAGAAGAATGCTGAGACAGTATGAGCATGCGCTAAATTTCAGAAAGCATTACTTCAGATCTCAAAAATAAATGCAAGACGGCACTTGATCACAAAGGGGGAGATTGTTGAAGACTATTTATTGTGAATCAAGTTTGTCTGTCTTGTTTGTAATAAGTTAGATGTTTGCTATTTCTATTCTGTACTGATTAAATATATCTGTTAGAATAGTATACAATATGGGCCAAGTGTTAGGCCCATACTCAGGCAAGAAGCCTTTGTACGCATACCTGAGCCTCGCCTATAAAAGAGGGAGGAGGACTCAGGTTTGCGGTTAACTTTCGTATCTGCTCAAAATAGCCTTAGCGCTTATCATTCTTGTACGAAAGATTCACGGTATATCAGAGAAGGTTTACACTTGATCTTTCTGTGTTCATCTTTGTTGTTAATCTTTCATCTGTATGCCATATTATACTGTTGTTATAGAAAACAGGGACTAACAAGCAAGGTAAAGAACTGGCTTGGAATCACAAGGGAAATGACGACTATTAAGAGTGCAATCAAGTGGATTATATTAGAGAGGACCATAATGGAGCAAACATCAAAGCAAAAGTGATACGGATCTCGTTGTGCTATACAGTTTTTTGGACTTCGAGAATTAGAAATGCTCTCCGATTTGAAGGAAACATGGCAAAAGTGGAAGATATGGTGGCAGAAATTAAGTATATGGTGTATAAAATCCTCTATCTTTTGTATCCGGTGCATATGATAACCTTTTGAAACTTTGGGTTGTAAATAACCCGTTTTTTGTCATAGCTTGATGGCTGTTTTTTGTGGTAAATAGCTAACTGCCATAGTTAGCTATTAGGTAGAAGGCATGGGGCATCCTTACTTTGGAATGCCTACAGGTGTTTTGTTTTTTGTCTATATGATGTACATAAACATTCTTGGATATATATATTTACAGTTTATCCAAAAAAAATGAAACCGGAGCCTGAAGACAAATTTTAGAACTCGGTAAGATCTTTCCAACGAGATATTAAACGCTTTCAACGGCACAAAATAGAGCAAGATATGATCGCATCAAATTCTACACGAGTTCGGAGTGAAATCAGAAACATTTGTGAATATATGGTTAATCTGTAACTTTTAATTAATGCATTGTAAATGAAGTTGGAACAATATCTTTAGAGCTCCGATCTATCTTTCCAAAGAGATATAATATGCTCCAAACGGATAAACACACAGCAAGATATGAGTGTCACAAATACTTAGCCTTATCTATATGATTTATCGTTTTCAGCGAAAATAGAGCACTTTTAGCGTAAATACAGTGTATTTTAGTAATTAGGCAATCATCCCTTGATATTTTGAAACCAGCGCCTGAAGACAAGTTTTAGAACTCGGTAAGATAAGGTGGTAAGATATAGGAAAAGTTGAGAGCTTCTCTCTCCTGTGTTTTTTCGCACCCAGCTCTTTTCTGATGAAGAAACACTAGTGGAAAATATGGATTTAATAACGGTTATAACGGACTTTTAATAACGGTTCAGAACCGTTATTGTTCCAGCACCTATTAAAAGTCTGGCACTTTTAATATGGGTTCGGGAACCGTTATGGAATCCTTTTTAATAACGGGTCAAATGAGCTTTCAATAACGGTTATACGTCGATATTGTTGCAGCACATGTTAAAAGTCCGGCACATTTAATAAGGGTTAATACATAACCGTTATTGAATCATTTAATAGCGGTTATACCTTAACCGTTATTAAAGGGTTTCAATATGGGATTAATCAACCCATATGAAATGTGTTCCTAACATTTAATTCATACCCAACTCTAAATATCATAAATTTACACATCATATGAACATTTATCGCAACAAAGTAAACACATATCCTTGCTCATAACATTTAATTCATACCCAACTCTAAATATCATAAATTTACACATCATATGAACATTTATCGCAACAAAGTAAACACATATCCTTTCTCATAACTAATAAAATTCCACATTCACATTGTTTTCATCCAAAAATATTCCCTAACATTCATCAAAAAGTAACTGAGTTCACAAGACTCATCAAAAACTAACTTTGAGTTCACAAGACTCATCAAAAAATAGCTAAGAGTCTAAAACTTATATCAAATTTCCGTAGCTTCGCAGAAAAATGACGCCCAACACTCTCGTGTCTCGTTGATTTCTTGATCAGTGAATGACTCTTGTACGTTGAATGCCTACAAATTAAATAACGAAACTAAATGAATAAATACAAAAATCATGAAGCAAAAGAAATAACATGTACAGTAACGATAAAATCACAAGTATATGGGAATACCTTCATCCAAGAATCAACAATACCAGCAGAAACAACAGTAGCCATATGTCTCATAACATAGTAGCCACACTCATAACCACCTTTTTGCATTCGGGACTACAAATAAACAAGCGTAAAATTTTATTACACACAACTCAATTACAAGTGCAATACCAAATTTGATCATTCCCTTACAACCAAAACTCATCTTTCCAGAAAGACAATAATACTAGCAAATTCAGTGATTATAATATTCCACATCACAATAAACACATAGGATATAAATTTTTATAACACATACAAATAAAATACAAATGGTTACTATTACCATTGGTTGGATCCATTTTGCTTTAGAATTCCTTTTATTTTTTGTCATCTGATGTGCTTGCATTTCCCTAATAAAGCATAAGTATAAAGTAAAAGTTAGTCAAATTATAGAATTTCGAGTTTCAACAAAAATAATCCATTTTGTAAGTTCTATCTCACAACTCCAAAAGACTTCTTATATTCTTCTTTGGCTTGTTCCCCAATGAGCATAAAAAGACAATTGTGTTCTGCTTCGGGCACAACACGAACAACTGCCAATGATTACTGAAATGAAAAGAGTGAATTTTTAAGTATGGAGGAAGCTTAAATATATATATCAATATGCACAAGATTTAGACAAACAAAACACATTCATGATTTCAAAAGAAACAAAGGATAGCCTGGAGGTAGCTTATATATTAATAATTCATAATTATCAATTATACTTGTACTTACGGGTAGTAGTATGGCAATAAATAACATTCCTTATTTTCACCAAGGTGGGTCAATATGTAACTTTGAATGTCATCACGCTTGTTTCCCACATCTTGAATCGTATGAGGATAAAATAATCCATACCGATGTGTGGTGTGCTTTTGAGTACACAATTTGTGCAAATACCTGTAAATTTAAAAATAACAAAGTAGCATTGAGCAGGGGAATATACACATTATGACCTTATTAAAAACTTATACAAATGAACATGCGGTTTCAAGTACTTTAATTTCAGTGGGTTCAAGTACTTTAATTTCAGTGGGTTCATGATCTGAAACAGTTGCGGAAAAAAAGATATACTTACAGAATCCACACTTGTAAAATTACAGCACTAAGCATTTGATTCCCCAAACATATCTCCATTATCTCTTCACAACCTAGAAAAAGAGATATATCGACTCGACCAATAATATCTCCTTTTAATATCAGCTCTATAGGTTGTAAACCGATGTGTTTAGTCATTGCCAACAAACGCGATATGGGGTCTTTGTTCTCATCGGAGGCAATATGTTGATCATGATCATCGTCCTACATTATAAATTTTAAGTTGAGGCCTTTTGAAAACAATTATATGATATTATAGTTGAATGTATTCATTTATATATACAATAAGAGAGTACCAAAACCTGGGGATTAACCAGTCTTCGTGGCCATTGAATGAATTGACAAGGGGCCTGCCCAACAAACTGAACCTCCTCGCTGGGAATCGGAACCAAAGCAGATGCATCTAAAACCTTTACCACCTCCACCCTAACAATATTTGCATCCACCATTTGATGGTGTATTGTAGGACCCAAATTGTGTACCTAATTAAAATTTCAAATGCATCACAAAGGAATGATGATTAATTCAAAACAATAGGAAATTAATTACCCCTTTTCTTTAACAATAGGAAATTACTATACGAAACCATTTGTAAGGCATGTTACACCTTCATTTGTTAACTAAATACTACGTATAAAGTTGGACTTAGACTGTTCCATGTACACTTTTAAAACGGAACCTCAGGCTTTTATTACTCCGTAATACATAGAATACTTGAGAGCTAAGAAGAACAAATCTATCTTTTTTCGTATAGGTCAAATTTTCTGGGAAACAAGTTTACAGTATATGATGCTTCACCGACACTTAAGGGAGCTAAGATGGTGAAAAGTCACAATACTTATCCTGAAGCCTTTAAACAACTCAACTCGAGAGTTTTTTTTAGTTTTTTTTTGTTTCAGCTCTAGTATTCTGATTGCTGTGTACACCCTAAGTTATGTTTAAATACAACCCTGGCCTTCAACTGCATTGATCTACATTCTAATCAAATTTAAACTCTTTCAGCAATTAAGATCTATAAATAAATATCAATCCAGGCCTCCTTTTCTGACCTGCCAATGCACGAACGATTGTGTCTAACATTTTTTTAAGTTGGCAGACATTTGATCTTGGGTGATAGATGTTGGATTAGTCTCTAGCTGCTTAAGTTCCAAGAAGCTTGGGTTAATTTTTTAAATGAGCCTTTTGTAGCTATTGAAAATAAAAACAATCAATTTAAGTGGGCCTTTGAAATTTATACTGACAAACATGGGTAAATCAGTTCTAAAAAATCAGTAGATCAAAATATTGGCAAGTGACCAAATGAGATTTGGGCACACTTGTTAGTGGTTGTAAAGTTTCCTTGCAAATCTTCTCTCAGTTGGGAGGATGTATAAGCATGATTAACATGTGTTTTGCTATTCATGACAGAGGCAATGAATAAAGTGGATGAAGAATCAGAAGCACTACACAAGCAGCTTCTGGATCGAGAAATTGATCTCCCCACATTTGTGCAGAAGTACAAGAAACTGCGCCTCACTTACCACAAACAAGCACTCGTTTGTAAGACATTTGAAAGAAGTTGGCAAACATTTGAAAGAAGTTGGCTAACATTTTTTTAAGTTGGCAGACATTTGAAAGAAGTTGGCAAACATTTTTTTAAGTTGGCAGACATTTGATCTTGGGTTATATCCTGAAGCAAGAGCTATTGGCTCTCGTATAGGGGATAGGAAAGAAGAAAACTTCTAAGACCTGGGACTTTGGCGGTTAGAGAATCTGAAATCGCATGGAAGAGCGGTTGTGCACCATTTCTGTTGGTTGTTGAAGTTTTACAAGACAAATCCTGCTATAACGAAGATTGATTTGAAGCCAATGGGTGAGGACATTGAGAAGATAGGTGAGGGGAACATTCTGAATAAGTATGCAGAGCATGAGACGTGTTTATGTTCTGGGGATAAAGTTGTTGAGGTTCTGAAAATTCCAAACCAACAGTTAGGTCGCTACTTTGAGAATTGTAAAGTGTTGGTTGACAGGAGGCCACTATCAGAATGCCAATGTGATGAAAAGAAAGAATCTGCAGCAGTTTATGCTGTCTCGGAAACCACTATTGATGCCAGAAAGGCTGCTGAAATTGCTAGGGGAATGAAACGGGGAGGGATGAAGATTGAAAACCAGATTGAAAACGGGGAGGTCAGTTCTATTCCTACAGCAAGACGAGTCAACTGCAGTACAAAACCGATAAGGTTGTCAGAACAGAAGGAATTAACAATGACCATATCTTTTAACTGATACCGTTTTAACCTTATATATATTGTCATTGTCAATGACCTAGCCTGATCAATTTCCACGACTTGGATCTTTGAATGCATAAACTTCTGAAATTTAATTTGTTGAGTTGCCTTCTGAATGCATTGTAAATGAAAGTTACCTTCTAAAATATGTTGAGTTGCCTTCTGAATTTTGTGAGTTGTTTGAAATATGGATGAATACTTGTATTTGTTGTTCTGTTTTAGATCTGCTATTTTTCAAAGATTGAGTGCTAAATTACCAAGTTATTACATTTTGTTTTTCTTTTTCGAAATTTTCTGTATATACTACATCTAAATTATTTAAACACACCAAAATCAATATATTTAATATGCATTGTGATAATTTGTTAGAAGAGCTTGATGTTGTTCTGGATGAGTATTCAAATGAGAAGGAAACAGGGGATAGTGGTAGCGATTCAGAATGCTTGTATGACAGTGACTATTTCATGGAACATGAGAGCACTGATGATGAACATTTGTTTGAGGACAATGTAGATAAAGATGTTGAAGATAATGGGAGAACAACGGGTTCTGTGATTGAATCAGACGAAGAGGCCGACGACTCAAGTGGGGATGATATTGTGTATCATGGTACACAATTTGAGGAAAGTATGTTGTCTGATTTGGAAAAGAAGGGACCAGATGACAATGTAGATAAAGATGTTGAAGATAATGGGAGAACTACAAGAATTCGGTGATCAATTTCAGAAGTTTATGCATTCAAAAATTTCCAGAAACTGTTACCACAAAGTTATGAATTGAATACACACCCTTCATCAAATATAATCAAAGATTATCCAAAATTAAATCTCCAAGAAAACCAAAAACATGCATTTTTATGAAGAAATGAAGCAAGTTGGACTTAAAGATCCAAACTTTAAGATAATGCAACTCCAAATGTGCCCAGAATTGAAGAACCCATACACAGATGCATGCATATAAACACAGAATCAAGCAATCAAGCAAATAAACTTATAAATGAAATACCTTTCCCATGGCCACCAAGTGGAATGGAGTATCAACATAAAGTCGAGAAAGATCGTCATCATCGTCATCATCAGATCCGGAAACATCTCTTGGAGCATTACTCCCCTTCGTACTCACATGGGGAGAAGGAGTGTTATGTGCCTCTGTGTGTGGCTTTGTTCCTTGTTGTTGAGTTAAACCCATCTTTCTCAGCTCATCACGGAGTTGTTGGGCGAACACCTGCTTCAGCTGTTCAGTCACCTGTCCAATCACTTGTTCAGTCACCTGTTGTGTCACCTTTAGTGTAACCTGCTTTTCGACGTCATGTAGCATCTCCTTTTTTATCTTATCAACATCTTGTTTGGTCAAACCTGAGGACAAACGGCCTTGATATGCACGAGATCCAAAGTACTCTATAATACCGACACCAGTTCTGGCAGCACGAACACGGCCCGGGTGCTCGGGCCGTTCAGTCGCTGCTGTCAATATATCATCACGCCCATAAGGAAAAAAGTTCCCTTTCTTTGTCTCCTCCTCTAGTACATCCTGTAAATCACAAACAAACAAAAATTCGTACAGTAGTATAAAATGTCTTTCATCTTGATAAGTGCTACTATAATGTAATATTGAAACTTACAATTTTCTCTGCGATCTCGCGAGACCTCTTTGAGGTATATTTCCCATTTCGTCCGACTCGACCTCCCTTCCATTTCACATGTCGGGGTATAGGAGAAGGTGGATTTAATAGCAATGATGGATCTGACTGTGAGGCTTCTTCACGCATTTTCAGTTTTCCTGCCATAATTTTTTCTTCTAATAAATCATATCCGCCTCGGGACAATCTGTGGGGGCAATCATTATATGCCTGAGTTTCTTGCGCTTTTTTCCTGCGCTCCTATTACAAAAAAAACACCACAAATATAATAAATAATATATTGAAGTGAAATTTTAGGGAAAATACGGTAAGGCATATATACTACCAGAAATTTAGGGTCTTTCCGGCTCAGGAAAAATTGCTTCCAAGTGTCAGCGTCTATCCATTTATATTTCTCTGTCGGATCTTCTCCACAACGGGTTCCATATATGAATTTTGATGTCAGATAGGTTTTAAATCCCGCCCAACGGTTACCCGCATATGCCACCCATCTTCTTCTCAATATTTGAGTATTGGGGACATCAAAAGTGAGCTACAATGCATTAGCATACATGCAAATTATATCCATCATAATCAAATATTAAGAAAACATACATGCATTAACACTATTTGGCCGCATTTTCACCCATACACTAGTGGATAGTTAAGTGTGTCATTCATTATAAAGAGAAATATTAAGAATAACAACCTGAATAGCCTCCCATATTTGATTTTTAACTCCCTCCTCAACAGATTCCCATTCAGATACTAGTATACTAGCTCTCATCCGTCCTTGTAAGGCCACGAAACTAACAAACAAACTCTTGTTTGGGCCCCTTGCTTGTTGGCGATCATTAAATTCAATAGGAAGTTTTTGGTTAGCTGCAATGAAAAAAATGAGTAGCCATTGAGAACAATAGTAGATATTTATTATAAATATATGTGGAAATTGAATTACCTGCGCGGCTAAGAATCAAAACCTTCAAGCTAGTGGCCTTTCTGTCTTTTTTCTTTCCAGAGTTGTTGTTTGATCCATTCTGCTCTTGATCGTTTGATCCATTCTGCTCTTGATCATCCATCTACCTGTTTACATAAAAAAGTAATTCGGTAAGCATAAGTATTCATTATTGAAAATGTAAGCAAATTAATATCTAAAGTAAACTAACATTATCAGAAATAATCTCCCATAATCCTTCTCTATGGTCATCACGGATTGCTTGCACATTATCCAATTCATTATCATCAATGACATCGGGAACTAGTGTAGATAAAGGGATCTCAAGTATGTCCGAAGCAAGATCATTATTTTCATCATTGACTGATAGATGCTTTCCTTGGAGAACAACTGACCACTTCGTGTCAGAGGGATCAGTCACGTAAAACACTTGTTTTGCTTGGTTTGCCATGATGAATGGTTCCGCCGTGTATGCTAATGTATCCAGATTCACCAAGGTAACACCAAGCGAGTCAGTTCTCACTCCATTCTTGTTGTCTACCCATTTACACTTAAAAACAACCTCCTGAAACCCAGTATAGTCAATCTCCCAAATTTCATCAATAATGCCATAGTAAGATATTGATGCCATTGTTGGATTTTTATCTTTTGCACTTGAAAAGTGCATGGCTTCAGCAACAACCATCACCCCGCTGTTTTGCATGGTACTCTTATCATCTTGAAACTTTGTGGAGAATGAGTACTTATTGATATCATATCCACCCAAAACATCACTTCAAAGAATATGCCATTTGCGAACCATCGTAACCTACCATTAACATTATTGTCACTCAAAATCGCTTCATTGAACCATTTCAAAAATGTCTTGTTATGCTCACTAAGCAACCACTTTTCATTCTTGCGTGGGTTTTTCTGTTTCACCAAAGCTTTGTGGGCATGCAAATAAGGTTGAACCTCTTCAGAATTGTTTAGTATATAGAAATGCGCTTGAAGAACCTCATCACGATCTATGCTCTTACATTTTACACCTCTAGAACCTTGACCATTATATCTTCCATCATGACGATATTTTGGAATCCCTATTGCTTCAACTTCTGAAATGTAATTTGTACAGAACTCAATGGCTTCTTCTGCAATGTAACGCTCAATAATAGATGCTTCTGGACGGTACTGATTCTTTACATACCCTTTCAACACTTTCATGTAGCGCTCAACGGAGTACATCCATCTCAAATACACAGGGCCACATAGTCTTATCTCCCTTACTAGATGAACTATTAAGTGAACCATTATGTCAAAAAAGGAAGGGGGGAAAAACATTTCAAGCTGGCACACTACAACAATTGCTTCATTTTCTAGCTCATCCAACTTCTCAGGGTCAACGAATTTGGAACAAAGGGTATGAAAAAACATACATAACCTGGTAATTGCCAACCTAAACTTCTCTGGCAAAATGCCACGAATAGCTACCGGTAAAAGTTGTTGCATTAGGACATGACAATCATGAGATTTTAAACCAACCAGTTTCAAATCTTTCATGGAAACGTAACTTCTAACATTAGAACAATAACCATATGGTACTTTGATACCACGCAAACACGCACAAAAGCTTGTTTTCTCTTTCTTAGACAAGGTATGACATGCTGGAGGCAGATACATACGCTTACCGTGTGCCTTCGGAGCTAGCTCCTCTCGTATACCCATTTCTACAAGATCAAGACGAGAATTCAAACCATCTTTTGTCTTTCCAGGAATGTTTAGAAGTGTCCCAATTATACTGTCACACACATTTTTTTCTACGTGCATCACACAATGCAATGTCTCACATCGAGATTGCGCCAATAAGGAAGATCAAAAAATATTGACATCTTCTTCCATATGTGTGTATCAACAGATTTTTTTTTTGATTTCCCGAACACAACATTGATATCCTTCACTTTTTGATATACTTGCTCTCCTGTCAAGGGCAATGGGGAGCATCTATTCTCGTTGCATCCATTGAAAGCTTTCTTCAATCGACGATATGGATGGTCCCTTTTGAGAAACCTTCGGTGCGCAAGATATACAGTTTTTCTTCCATGTGGAAGTTGATGGTAGCATGTTCCTTCTTCACATATTGGACATGCTTTATGTCCTTTGGTAGTATAACCAGCAAGATTCCCGTATGCAGGAAAGTCATTTATGGTACAAAAAACCATGGCACGCATGTTGAACATTTCCCTGCGATATCCGTCAAAAACATCAACGCCTTCCTCCCACAATTTCTTCAAATCCTCAATAAGGGGACGTAGGTAAACATCTATGTCATTACCAGGTTGTTTAGGACCAGAAATCAACAAAGATAAAATCATGTATTTGCGCTTCATGCACAACCAAGGAGATAAGTTGTAAATTATCAAGAGAACAGGCCATGAACTATGAATGCTACTTAAATTACCATATGGATTCATTCCATCTGTAGCTAATCCAAACCTAAGGTTTCTTGGCTCATCCCCAAAGACGGGAAATAATTTATTTATTTTCTTCCATTGAATAGAATCTGCTGGATGGCGAATCATCCCATCATGTTTTCTCTCATCAGCATGCCATCTAATGCTTTTTGCTTCTACCGGGTTACTGAATAGTCTCTTCAACCTTGGTATTATCGGAAGATACCATAGCACTTTCGCAGGAGGACCGCTTGTATAGTTATCATCGGAACTTGGATCGTTGTCCTTCAATTTATAGCGTGATAACCCACATCTTGGACACTTATGCAACTCTTCAAACTCCTTCCAATACAGTATACAATCGTTAGGACATGCATGTATCTTTTTATACTCCATACCTAAAGGACATAATATCTTCTTTGCCTCATAGTTGCGGTTCGGCAATGTATTTCCTTCAGGCAGCATATCTTTTAGCAAAATAAGTAATTCAGTGAAACTTTTATCACTCCAACCATACTTTGCTTTCAAATTGAACAATTTCAACACTACTGACAACCGTGTGTACTTGGTGCACCTAGGATACAAAGGCTTTTCTGAATCAACACATAGCGTATCATACACATATGACCGCTTAAAGGCTTCCTCACCAATATCACGTATCATGTCTTCTAAATGATCACCATTATCTGCTTTGGAAACTTCTTCTCTATGAGACGATGTATTAGTCACATTTAATCGCTCGCCATGCCATATCCATACGTTGTAATTTTTACAAAAACCGTCACATAGTACATGCTCTCTTATCAACTCAACGTCTAGTCGTCTCCCATTCAGGCAATTAACACAAGGACAATGAAACTTTCCATCATTATAGGGAAGATTTGTTTTAGCAAACTGAATAAAAGATTCCACGCCATTCTCATACTCATCACTTGTTCGTCTACAGTTGATCCAACTACGATCCATAATGACCTTAATGTCTGCACCATATGTAACCAAACATGTAAGTATAGGATATTTCCTAAATGTTGAAGTTAACAACACCTCATGATATGTGTTTATTTATTTATTTTGTATTACTTAATTGCTTTAAAAATCTTTATGTTTAATATTTTAATGTTTTGTATTCCGTGTTTCTTTATTTCATTGCTCCAGTAGGTTGTATTAATTAATTGCTTTAAAATCTTTCTATTTAATATTTTAATGTTTTAGTGTTGAACGGTTTAATGTTGACATGTTGTAGTGTAACTAGTGTTGTACAGAACCTCCTGCAATAATTTTTTCAACATTTTTGTAATGGTGTCCTTTGCTCAGGAGGTCAATGTGTTGTGAAGTACTGGACTGACAGCAGGATAAAGCCTGGTTACATTAAAAAACATAGGACATCCTAGTTAGTTGATAGAGAATAAGCTGCTAGGGGTACAAATTTGCTAAATATTTAATTCACCAGTGTTCTGTTGGCAGTTAAATGCATTTTAGATGTGATTGAATCGGTAAACACCTTACGTAGTGCTCATATAGTACTTTAAGGAAACTGCAAATCCTTCAACTTTAAAATATTATGCCTTAAAAAACTTCACACTTCTGTATACTCCTTCAATTCACAATAGTGTTGTTTTGGTTGAAATGATTTGTATTGACCCACCTCTTTTTTATAAAAAAATCATTGTGTGAAAAGAATGATCATTAAAATGGTTCTCGTTTTTGTTTGTAGGGTTTTATAATTTTTTTTTCTAAATTGCACCTTAGGTAAGTGTTTGTTCCTGAACTTTTTTCAACTTGTTTTACAATGTATTTTTTTTAGAAAGTAAGTGGCTGTTTACATAAAAGTGATAGAACATCATTTCATGTAAGTTTTTATCTTTAGGCACATAATCCACCTTGACTTTGTGTGTTTTCCTAATGGCCAGCCATAAATGAAAGGGTGTGGCAGAATCTTTTTCCTAATTCTAAATCTATATTAGGGAGTGTTAAAGGCTACTGTTTGGCATGGCAGCGGTTTAGAAAACGAGGGAGCATTGTGGAAAATATGCAGCAGGTTTGGTCTGGGGGGACAGCTTCTATAGCAGGTCGCTTTAAACTCAATATTGATGCTGCTGATAAAGGAGAATGCTGGGGGTTGGGCTGGGTTCTTCGTGATTTAGAATCACATCGACTGAGATATGGGGTTTTTGGAATGTGAGACAATGGCAGTCCCCTCTAACTCTTCTGCCGTAAACTTTTTGTGATTGACTATGGATTTCCACCAAACTTGTGGCTGCCAAATACATAATCATTCTCACGAAGAGCAAATTCTCGCATTTCCACCAAACTTTTTATTTGAACTATTATATTTTCAAGTGATTTTCTTTTTTTTTACAGATTCATTTTTTCTGCAAGTACTCTGCTTTTCATAAAAAAGAAGATACGATAATAATTGAACACTACTGCATTATAATTAGACACGGAAATGATACCTGGCGTGGACATACCTGGAGTGGAGCAGTGCAGTCGTGGATTTGCTGATGGGAAGAAGAAAACGAGCGAGGAACTGCAGCAGCCGCGTCGCCTTCAGCCGCTCGCCTTCAGCCGCTCGCCTTCAGCCGCTCGCCTTTGCCCGCGCCGCCTTCAGCCTCTCGTCTTCAGCCGCGTCGCCTTCAGCCGCTCTCTTCAGCCGCGTAGTCTCTTTCGTCCGGAGGGAGCAGCGATTGGGCGTAGATTGGGAGCAGGTATCTTTCGTCCGCGTAGAGTGTTGGGAGTCGATGGAGGGTTTTTAATTTGGGCGATTATTTGGGAGGGTTTTTGGCTGGGTTGCTGGGCTTTTAATTTTAGAACTTTTGATAAGGGTTACACACAACTGACATTGAAAAGTAATTTTTTAATTTATAAAATATACCCCATTTCTAAATTAAAGTTTTCGGAAATTAGAAAAATGGCCCCGTTTTTCTAATTCATGTCGGTTTTTTAATGTCCCATATGAATAATGTTTTTTTATTTATGAAAGATACCCGCTCAACTTATTCGAACTTTCATTATTTATAAATATGACCCCGCTCCTACATACTATAACGGTTCTAATTGAACCCATATTAAAACCTAGTTATAGAATACATATTTTGCACTAGTGAAACTTACGGTTGGTATGATTCTTTGATGTATATGTTGTAATCTTGTGTGATTCTTGGTCGTTTGTGGTCCTATAATCCCTTTGGTTGCTTGAATATGGTTTATACGTTGTTCGAAGTCCAAAAACTAACATTAGAGTTTTTGAAAATACGACGTTTTACTGTTCACATTTCGAACAGCGCCTGGTATTGATCTTCGTCTGAAATTAACTGGTGGTGTGCGGCTGTTCTGTGTCGGAATCCTTCACTAGGCCACTTCCGACCTTGGATTTGGCGTGGGAGGGATTAACGGTGGAAACAAGCTACAACTCACTTCCGATACAGGTTGCTCAAGCTCAGAGGTGGTTATTGATTTCTGCTGCTGTAACTGTATGGCGAGGTCAAAACAGGGTAAGGTAGAGGCTTCTACAACAACTAGAAACACCAGGTCTAGGTTTGCACTACTTGAGGGTATGGATGACGATTTCCCATAACTGGCTGTGAATAGGCCTGGGAGTGCTCCAACCGTAGAAAACCCTTCTATCCCTGAGGTAGGAACGGGCAAGTCAACTGAATGCGAGGGTGCTGGGACTAATAGGAGAGCTGGGAAATCAACTGTGATTGAAGCACATGCTAAAGCTCCTGGAGCTTTAGTTGCTGCGAAGTCACCTACACCTGCGGCTTTAGCTCCTGGGAAGTCATCTGCGGCTTTAGCTCCTTCTGTATCAGGGAAGTCACCCGCAGCTTTGATTCACAGGGAAATTACACCTCTGGGAGGTAATGATGGGAAGAATGCCAAGAATGAAGTTACTAAAGCTACGGTAAAACCATGGTCAAATCTTTTCAAGGATAATCGTGCTCCAACACAAGGTATGAAGCTGAGATATGTCTCGCCAAAAGGTGATTCTTTGGACTTCACTGGGAGGATTTTACCGTCCATGAATGATATGTGGGGCCACTGCCTTGTCGGGTACTTCACTGGCAGATTCCCGGGCCTCAAAGCCATATATGAATTGAAAGAAAAATAGGGTGTGAGATGTTTGATTAGGCCCCATGACAAGGGATGGGTCAATTTTAAGTTCCAAAGTGAAACTGATAGAGCTAAAGTACTTAATGAAGGGCTGTATACAATCTTTGGGAAAATGTTGTTGCTTAAGATACTTTCTGATGATTTTTCTTTCAATGATGAGGAGTTCTTAAAGGTGCCAATTTGGGTCAAATTCCCGAATTTACCACTTAAGCTTTGGAATGATGAAGCTATGAGCGAAGTGGCGTCTATGGTTGGTATCCCGCTATCTACTGACAAGGTTACACAAGAAAAAACCAACCATCACTTTGCTAGGGTGCTAATTGAGGTGGATGTTTCAAAGCCACCACCGTTATCATTTCCCATAAGATTACCTTCCCGAAAAGTACTCAAACAAATGGTGGTATATGAAACTTTTCCAAACTTCTGCTTTCATTGCAAAGAATACGGGCACCACCCGTTTATTTGTAACAAACTTGCAGGGATTAGTAAGAAGAAGAAGGATGCTGAAATTGTTAAGAGTGCAAACAAAGGAGAGGAAGTTGTCTGAGTAAAGGGAGATGTTATGGCTGCATTGGGGGATAAGACTGTGAATGTGACCGCTATTTCTGAGCATATAGGGGCGGAAAAGGTACAGCTATCACAGGAACCTGCTGCATGTGAACAGGCTGAACCAGTGGAACCTGCTGCTACAAGTAAACAGGCTGCTACGTGTGAACCTACTGCTGCACTGTCACCAGAACCAGCGGAACCTGCTGCTGAAGTTACTGCGTTTGAAGTTGCTGCGTTTGAAGTTGCTGCACCTGAACAGGCTGAAGAACCTGCTGCGTTTGAAGTTGCTGCACCCAGAGCTGGTGGCGTAGTTTCTGCACCAGTACCTGCTGCGATGGAACCTGCTGCTGCATTGTCTCTTGCTGCGTTTGAACCAGTCAAACCTGCTGCTGCTGATAACTTCACTGCTGCTGCGGAAAGGGCAGCACATGCACCGGGGCCCCTGCACCAAAGAAGGGTCCGACTAAGAAAAGAGTTTTTAAAATAAGCAGATGCCCAGGTTATTGATCCGTTTCTCAGGGCCCAGGTAGAAAGATGGTTTTTATTGGCACCTATTATTTACTTTCGCATGGGAATTTGTGGGAGCTGCTGTTATTATTGTGCTTCACAACTACGGGAGGTTATTGAGTTATCTAATGAGTGGGGTTTAGAGCTAAAAGGAAGCTACTGTCTGCTGATTTTTGGATGGGGAAGCTACGGCTCTTTTTGATGGGCTGGATTAGCTTTAATTAATTAGTGACTTTGTGATGTGGGGGCTATCCCATTATTTTGATGCATTATATCTAGGTTAGTTTATTCTAGCTTAGATAGTAATTTTGATCTGGACTTGATGCATTGTAAAATACTATTTTTGGGTGGCTTATATAAATTTACATTTCATCCAAAAAATAGAACTCGGTAAGATCTTTCCAACGAGATATTAAACGCTTTCAACGGCACAACATAGAGCAAGATATGATCGCATCAAATTCGACACGAGTTCGGGGTGAAATCAGAAACATTTGTGAATATATGGTTAATCTGTAACTTTTAATTAATGCATTGTAAACGAAGTTGGAACAATATCTTTAGATCTCCGATCTATCTTTCCAACGAGATATAATACACCCCAAACGGATAAACACACAGCTGGATATGAGTGTCACAAATACCTAGCCTTATCTCTATGATTTAGCGTTTTCAGCTAAAATAGAGCACTTTTAGAGTAAATACAATGTATTTTAGTAATTAGGCAATCATCCCTTGATATTTTGAAACAAGCGCCTGAAGAAAAGTTTTAGAACTCGGTAAGATGTTTCCAACGAGATATTCAACGCTTTCAACGGCACAAATTAGAGTAAGATATGATCGCATCAAATTCTACACGAGTTCGGAGTGAAATCAGAAACATTTGTGAATATATGGTTAATCTGTAACTTTTAATTAATGCATTGTAAATGAAGTTGGAGCAATAGCTTTAGAGATCCGATCTATCTTTCCAATGAGATATAATACGCTCCAAGCGGATAAACACACAGCAAGATATGATTGTCACAAATACTTAGCTTTATCTCTATGATTTAGCGTTTTCAGCGAAAATAAAGCACTTTTAGCGTAAATACAGTGTATTTTAGTAATTAGGCAATCATCCCTGGATATTTTGAAACGAGCGCCTGAAGACAAGTTTTAGAACTCGGTAAGATCTTTCCAACGAGATATTAAACGCTTTCAACGGCACAATAGAGCAAGATATGATCGCATTAAATTCTACACGAGTTCGGAATGAAATCAGAAACATTTGTGAATATATCGTTAATCTGTAAATTTTAATTAATGCATTGTAAATGAAGTTGGAACAATAGGTTTAGGTTGTTTTTACTTTGACCGTAGTTGTTCCCAGACAAGACCACACAAGACTAGACCACACTAAAACAGACCAGACCAGACCATATTTTATTATTATTATTATTATTATTATTATTATTATTATTATTTGTTGGGAATATTTTATGGTGTTCAATCTAGTTAGTTATCTTTGTATTTGTGTAGTTATCAATTAAACGTGTAATACGGGTCACAAATGTGTATCAGCCCGGGGGCTTCCTTGTAACCCGTAAGTTAGCCAACTTCTCCTATAAAAGGAAGCTAACTTACGGGAACCAAAAACAATCGGAAAAAGGCTGAGAGCGAAAGAGGCGAGATAGAGAGTAGGGTTTCTGCTGCTCTCCTTCTCCAGGGAGAGCAGCGGGCTTTTATACGGTATACCAGATTCGTGTATTATATCAATATCCTTCTATCTTCTTCTTTATCACTATTATGATTGTTGTTTGTTAAATTCTGGGTTTATCAATTGGTATCAGAGCCGATCGAGAGCCGATCAGAAGAACGCCTGCAGAAGAACTCTGTTTTTCTTTACGTTGTTCTTTCTGTCGATTTTTTACTCTGTAATCTTGTTTCTTGTTAAAAAGTTGTAAAAGTTACACCCTTAGAATCGTCGTTTTGAAGCGATCAAGGGGTATACTTCAGATTTCGTTTTCTGCAGTTTCTGTACTTGAGATATTTCGAATAGCTTTGTCGACATCTAGGATTTAAGCAGGTTCTGCCAAGTATTTCGAGCTGAAAACTTTACCTGAGGATCTCGACATCATACTCTACAAGAAACTACCTTCAGATTTTGCTTATCTGATTTTTCAAGTTTGCAGGATTTCGACATTGAGGATTTCGACATCTAGGATCTCGAGATCAAGATTTCGACTTTAAGGTCTCGACATCTGGTCTCGACATTTGACTTCTCGAAATAAGATTTCGAGTTTAACTTCTCGACATCTCAAATCTCGAGATCTTCTTCTCGATATTTGAAATCTCGAGATTTCAAAACTCGAGATCCAAATCTCGATATCAAATCTCGAAACCGGGCCTCCTTTATCGAAATCCCAGATCTCGATATTCAGATCTCGACATCTGATTTTCGACATTCTGCCTCTGAAAATCTTTTGATCAATTATCTCGAACGGTCAGTTTTATACAGCAATGGGCTCAGAATTCAATGCCCAAGGGAACAGCAGTACTCCTCCCAGTCTCAGGAAAGGAGAATACCAAATGTGGAGGAATCGATTCCTTAATTTCCTTGAGCACAAAGAAAACTCCGTTGTGATGCTTGAATCGTTGCTTGAAGGACCAGCTGAACTGATGATTTCAGTTGGTGGTGATCCAGAAAACAACCCACCTATTCTTCCAGAAATAAGACGGAAAGTGGCATCTGAATATACGGAAGCTGACAGGCTCAGGCTTCGAGGTGATCTCATGGCCAAGACGTACCTCCTTCAACCAATCCCTAACGAAGTATATGTTCTCATCGATAGCATGCAAACAGCAAAGGAAATGTGGGATGAGATAGAGAAACTGCTCCAAGGCACCAGCATAAGCCTTAAAACCAAGAAGACAACCATTCTTATTGCTTATGACTCCTTCAAAGCAGGACCGGGAGAACCATTGAACGAGACTTACAACAGACTCGTCCAACTGGTCAATGAACTTAGAAAAATCAAAGTATTCAGGTCCAACTTGGAACTGAATATAAGATTTCTATCCAGCCTGCATCCTGCATGGGAAAAGACAGTGAAGGATGTTAGATCTCGCATTGACTTGGATGAAATTGACCTCTGCACTCTATATGAACATTTGAAGCAATTTGTCAATGAGGTTGCTTGTGCCGAGGATCATCACAGCACAAATCCCCTGGCTCTAGTGATGGAAACTCAGCCCCGAAGAACAACCACACCACTGAAGACGAAGAAGAAGAAGAAGAAGAAGAAGAAGAAGAAGAAGAAGAAGAAGAAGAAGAAGAAGGTGGTGGTTGAATCAAATGATTATGAAAGTGATGACGACAAATCTGATCTGGAGGCTGAGCTTGCAGACTTACAGAAAAAGATGGCACTGTTTGCCAAGAGATTTGCAAAGAAGAACAGCTCCTCCAACAAGCTGAAAACCTCCTCCTCAAACTACAAACAGAAGAACCATGAACAAGGATCTTCTAGGAAGGCGCCATCGGCTGAAGATGCCCCCAAATGCTACAATTGTGGAAAGGCTGGACATGTCATCAAAGACTGCCGCCTCCCAAAGAAGAAGGATGCAAACTTCTACAAGCAATAGATGTTGTGGAATAAGCAGAAAATGCTGATGGTGCAGAAAGAAGAAGAAACTTCTGCAATGATTGCTGAGAATGATAACTGGGCAGAAGATACTTCTGATGAGGAGGAGGAGGAAGAAAACTATGCCCTGATGGCACGAGTGGAGGAAGAAAATGAAAGAAAGGGTGATGCTACGATCCCCGAAAGTAAATGCTCAACAAGCTCTGTAAGTACCTCTCATACTCCTTTAAATAATCAAAATCAGTCCTTACTTGAGAAGGACAAACTAATTAAAGAACTAAAGGAGAGATTAGACAATAATCACAGGGTACTGAAACAGAATCTAGACCAAAAGTCTTCTCTAAGTGTTCAACTTGAAATTGCGAAAGATCAGGTCAAGAAGGTGTCCTCAGATTTTGAAAGTTTTGAACTTAAGATAGCTGAATTAACTAAGAAATTTGAGGATAGTGAACGAGAAAAAAGCACAGCAAAGGCTGAATACGATTTTTTGCATAATAAGAGAAGAACACTCTTAAACAAAATAAAAGAACTAGATGATCTAGCTACTAAGAGAGGTCAGTCTGAACAGACAATTTTTCTTAATCGAATAAAGGATGACCGGTTTTACAATCCTAGAATAGGACTGGGCATAACCAACCCATGTAATCTAAAGAAAGTTAACTGTCTTCAAATCTATAACAAAGATTACATGGTGATAAAAACGCTGAAGCAGAAGAAGAAAAGAGAAAGAACCCTAAAGTTGTGATTTCTTGTGATTATCCCTCTGTAAATGAAAAACAACTTTCACAAAAAGAATCTAGTTCCTGCTTTAGTGAATGTCTTGACCCTTATGCAAAAGATATTCCACACATAGGACATCCTCTAGACCCACCCCCAAGAGTAGGTAACTCTAAAACTGGAGAGGAACCTTGTATTTTTCCTATGGCTCAAAAACTCAAAAACCTCCAGAAAACTCTTGATAACGAGAGAGAGAGATTTGAAACTGAAAAGAGAGGTTTTGAGAGCAACTGGCAGGAACTTCTTCAAAAGTTCAATGAATTAAGTGAGCAGTATCATGCTAAAACAGCCCCTTCTAATTCTAATAATAAGTCTGACAGTTCACACACCTCACTTGAGAAAACAAAGTTTTTAAAAGGTTCGTCCACTCATCTCTCTTCTCCTTTGCTTACAGGTAAAGAAGTGAAGAAGGAAGGAGAAGAGAAGAGTGAGTGGAGGAAGAAGAGGAAGGAAATCGCAGAAGGCAAAAAGAAAGTTTTTGAGAATAATGCCAGCCCTAGATCTAGTTCTAATTTTTACTCTAAAGTTAATTGTAATTCTGTCTCTGAGAAACAAACTTCTACTAGTTCAGTCTTGAGTCCCAAGCTGAATATTTCTGAGACTTCTTCTAGACATCGTTCAATTCATAATTCAAGTATTGCTTACGGTTATTCTGTTCCAGACCCCCATAATTATGAATGTGATGTGAATGTTGTTAAAGCAAAGCCTCACAGAAAGCTCAAACCAAAAAGAGAAACCGAGAACAGAACTTCTAAGGGAATATTTTGTATACCTGATATGAAATATGCTCTTCGAGTTCATTCAAGGAAACATCTTAATCGGCTTTCTAAAGAGGAAATTTTTAAAACCAAACTTAAGAAACAACCATTCAATCACAAAGCTCATGTCTACTCTCCTCCAAAAACTAAAACTGAAAGGTGGGTTCCCAAGATAAGACCCACCAAAACTGAAACCGAAAGGTGGGTCCCCAAGATAAGACCTACCAAGCTTGAAACAGATAGGTGGGTCCCCAAGATT